ATATATTATTTATTATTTTTATTTTATGTGTATGAGTGTATTGCCTGCATGTATGTAAGTGCACCCATGTTGTGCAATGCCTGAAGAGGCCAGAAGAAGGTGTTAGATCTGCTGGAACTTGAATTATGGACAGTTGTTTGCCGTCATGTGGGTGCTGGGACTCGAACCCGGGTCCTTTGCAAGAGCAGCCAATGCTCTTAACTGCTAAACCATCTCTCCAGCCCTACAACCTGTTTTCTTATACAACCCAGGGCCACCTGCCCAGAGGTGGTACCGCCCACAGTGGGCTGGCCTCTCATCACTCAGTAATGGAGAAAATGCCTCAGAGATGCCCACAAGGCCGATCCAGTAGAATTCCCCCATTGAGGTTTTCTCATCCCAGATGTATCAGCCTCACAATCAAAGCTATCCAGCACAGAGCTCATCCTGATTTTTGAGAATATTGCCCATTAGAGACTTTGTATGACAGACTTCAGCGCTAAACCTTTATGTCTATTGTAAAATACTATATGAAACGCCAAGCCCTTTTTGAGCTAAAGCTGGTCTCGTTCTCAACAATCCTTGCCTCCTAGGAAGGAGGATCACAGGTATGAGCCACCATGCTTGACTTTATGGAAGTTTTTCTTAGAATACAGTGATTTTTTTTTTTTTTGTATATAAAAGCAGGTTAAAAATAGCTTTGTTTTAACTATAAGTCACTGCAGTAGAGAATAAAATTTGATAACTCTTGGCATACGTATACCCAGGAAACTGTTAACACAATCAGGGTACTGAACATATTTATCCCCTCAGAGAAGCCGTCTTCTGTCCCCTCTCCATCTGTGTCTCATGCAGGCATCTGCTTTCTGTCACCGTGGAGTGGTCATGCTTTCTAACATTTCACACGGAGGAACTGCAGAATATGCTTTCCTGTCTGCTTTCCCTGTTCAGTTTGATTATTTTGAGAATGATTTATCTTGTTGCATCTCCATAGCTCATTCCTTTTCGTTTCTGAGTGCCCGTGTCCGTTTGTCTGCCCATCACCCGGTGGTGGACAGTGGGTCGTTTCCACCTTTGACTGCCAGGTGCAACCACTGCGAATATTTATGCTCAAGTCCTTGGGCTTTGGTCGCACCGGTGAGTGTCTAAGTGCAAGGGGGCGGGGGGCTCCTGTTGTATGTTCGAGAAACCATCAGCGGTTTTCCAAGGAAGGCTGTACTGTTTTAGGTGGTTACCAACAGCGTGTGAGAGTTGAGTTTTTCTGTATCCTCCTGAGCACTGCTCAGGTTGATCTTTATGATTTCTAGCCCTTCAAACAAGTATGTAGTATTTTTTCAGTGTGACTATAATTTGCATTTCCCAACTGAAAAAAAAAGTATGTTGAGCATTTTTTCATTTTATCTCCACTTGTCTTTGGTGAAGTTTCAGTTCAAAGCTTTTTATCATTATCTATCTGTCTGTCTGTCTCTATCTATCTGTCTCTCTCATCTATCTATCTATCTATCTATCTATCTATCTATCTATCTATCTATCTATCTATCAATCTCTATCTAATCTATCATCTATCATCTATCAATCTATATCTATCTATCTATCTCTAATCTATCATTTATCATCTATCAATCTATCAATCAAATCAATCTAATCTATCATCTATCTATCCATCTATCTACCTATCATATCATCTATCTATCAACCTATATTTATCATCTATTTTCTATCAATCAATCAATCAGTCAGTCAGTCAATCAATCAATCAATCAATCGGTCACTTATCTATCATCTATCAATCAATTGGCTAATCATTATCTATCTATCTATCTATCTATCTATCTATCTATCTATCTATCTATCTATCATCTATCTATCATCCAGTCAATCAATCAGTCAATCACATATCTACGTTATCATCATCTATTTTCTATTTGTATAGCCCTGCTGGCCTTACACTCATGATCCTCCTTCCTCCACATCCTGAGGACTAAGTTTTCTTACTGAGTTTTAAGGATTTTAACCCTTCTAGATATAACTGACTGTGGCATTTCAGTCTCATGCTCTGCTCCCCTGTGCTCCCCTGGTGGAGCCACTTTTTTCAAAAAAATAGAGTTCACAGTTTTCTACAGAGGAAGTGTCCTGTGTGTGAGTGTGGGCACTCCATTTTCTGTTCTTGCACTGGGGAGGTGCTCCTCGCTGAGTGTCCTGTGTGTGAGTGTGGGCACTCCGTTTTCTGTTCTTGCACTGGGGAGGTGCTCCTCGCTGAGTGTCCTGTGTGTGAGTGTGGGCACTCCGTTTTCTGTTCTTGCACTGGGGAGGTGCTCCTCGCTGAGTGTCCTGTGCTCCCGAACGTCTTGCTGGATGTGTTAAGAGTTCAGTGCAGTCACTTTTTTTCAGCCAGGACATTTCCCAGAGTTCTTTTTGCAGCAGACAACCTTGTAGAAAGATGGACTTCTCTGAAAGACCAGCCTCGCTTGTCATTTCCTATCAGAACTGTAGACTGACCAGACAAGTGGCTCCATGCTTGTGCACAGGCCTCTGGGGGACACTGAGCACAGGGGAGTTGGTCATGATGTTCATACTTTTGTGCTATGTGGTAACTTTGGGAAGAAGGAGCCTCCTGGCTTTAGCCAGCTCTGTGGAAGTCACAGGCCAAGCTGTGTTGCTAAGCTTCTAGGTAAATAGTGTGGATCGTATTACAAATACAATGGACTTTTGATCTTCCATCGTTTACCTTTCTGTGTTTATACCAGCTCCCATAATTTCCTATACTTCTACATTTTAATTTTAGTAGATTATATTTTAATTCTTTGCAATATTACACGTTATCCTTTCATGTGTATTATAATATATATTTATATATCATTCTTGTTTAGTGTATATACTCCAAGCGGTAAAATTCTGTGAAGGCTTTTGCTATTTGAGTTATCGCTCTGTGGTTTTCTCTCTTGGTTTTTTTTTTTTTCATCCTTCGCAGCTATGTTAGCGTAACATGGACTTAGTGTGAACTGAAAAGTGGTCTCTGTGTTTCGACTTTTTAGAAAACACAGAGTGTACTAAGTCTTTGCACCTGTTAGTTGAATGTACCAGGGAAGTTGTCTGTGCAGAGATTACCTCACTACCCTCTATGTGGTTCTATGATGTGGGAGGGCTCCAACTGCACGTTCTGTTTATTTTACAGATCATCCATTCATTAATTTGTTGTTGAGCGTACTTTGGTCATTTGTGTCTTTTAAGAAATTTGCTCATTTTTTTGTAAGTTGTTGAGTTTCTTAATGGAAGTTGCTCCTGGTGCTTGCCCTCCGGTACCTGGAAATCTCTCCTGATACTGACAATCTGGTGTCCTCTATCTTGTTGTGTTATTTTCTTAAGACATTTGCCTACTTTATGATCCCCTCACAGAACCTGTCTTCTGGTTGAATTGCTTTTCTGTCAGATTGCTTCTTGCTCTGATTGTTACTGTTTTATATCTTTTGATTATTTTACCCTTTAAAGCTTGTGTGTGTTTAGGTTGTTGGCAGTGCATCTAAAGGACATTGTCAAAATTGTCATTTTGTGACAATTAAGATTGCGTTCAAATCCTTGGAATTTTCGCATGGTTCAGCTGAGAGCTATGTTTTGTTTTATTTTATTTTATTTATTTATCATTCTCCAGAAATTAGAGTTTGAAAAAAAAAAATCACATCAACCTATCAGATGTGAGTGGTTACTCTGAATAATGGGGCGGACAGCTGCATGCATGCCCACATACATCACACACACACATACACACACATACACACACACACACATACACACACATACACACACACACACATACACACACATACACACACATACACATATACATACACACATACACACACATACACATACGCACACACACACATACACACACATACACACACATACACACACATACACACATACACATACATACACACATAGACACATACAGACATACATACACACACATACACATACACACATACACACACATACACACATACAGATATACATACACACACATACACACACATACACACACACACACAGGGCAGGTAGGATAAAATAATTTGAGTAGGACTGTGACCCTGGCAAGCCAACCCCTGCTTATTTATGTGCAAGGAAAGAAAAACACTTTCTAGGTCTGTGGACTGGGGTTTAGTTTTTTAAAAAAACCCAACCTGCTGCTTGTAGCTGGGTCCACTCGACTAGGTCTGTAATCCAGGCCATTGGGAGGCTGAGGGAGGCAAGAGGGTGTTAAGTTCAAGACCTGCTGGCAGTACCCAGTGAGTTCAATTCCAGCCCAAGCAATTTAGCAAGACCCTGTCTCAAAATGGGAAATAGGAGAAAGTCTGAGGGTGTGGCTCAGTGACAGGGAGCATGCCTAGCAGGCAGAGGCCCTGGATTCAGTCATCATGAATACGATGTGGTGGGTTATTATCCTGACTATTATAGTTAAGGTGCTGGAGAAGAAACCCAGGCCCTTGTGCACACTGTTTACTGTTCTAATTGGGTGGTAGAGATTATGCTCTGTGAGGTGTTAGTGTTTTAGATATGCTGTCACTGCTCAGCCTGAGGCAGAGGAAAGGCAGTGCTTGGCAGGGCCAGGCAGCTCTTTGTCCCGAGGCCCTGGTGTGTCAGGTGGGCCCCACCTTGGTGGTGGTGTTGAGTCCTTACATCGTGCAGGGTTTGACGTGCAGTGGGGGCTTTGTCAGCATCTTCACAGCAGGTTGGAGTTGGCAGGTTGGATTTGAACGGCTCCTTTCTTCCCTTACCTGTTGCCTTTTCTCCTCCCTGTCACCCTATTCAGTTCTGTGCAATTAGGGATGATTAGGTGTGACGATCAGGTAGAATTACAATAAGCTAATTGTGAAGTGCTTGCACCCATACTGTGAACTGAATAGATGCCCTACATGCTCAGAATGTGAAAGGACTCTGTGCAGAAAAATACAGTTACCCGGGGCTTGTGGGAAGGGTGGCAAGCACAGACACAGCTGTGCCTCCCAGATGACCAGCCTCTTAGAAACGGGAAGCACAGGACCCAGGGGCACAGCAGCAGGATCTGATTCAAGATCATCCTGGACACAGGAGCCTGTTAGGGACTGCCTCCAGCCACACGCCCTCCCTGCACAGCCTGGACACTGCCTTGTTCTGGGGTGGGCATATTTCCTGGTCTACACATATAGGACATGCTCCCACTTGGTCTAGAAAATTTTGTTATTTCCTTACCCGCCCCCCCCCACCAGCTCTTTGTTTCCTAAGGATTTTTCCATATGTACCCCAGGCTGGCCTTGAACATACAATGATTTTTCTGTTTCAGCCTTCACAGTGCTGAGATTACAGGCGTACACTGCCATGTGTAGGACTTTTTTTAGAATTAATTTTTACATTTATTTATTTTGTTGTCTGTGTGTCTGTCTGTCTGTCTGTCTGTCTGCCTGCCATATGCAAATATGCAAGCTGCAGTGCCCATGTGGAGGTCAGAGGACAACTTGTGGGAGTTGTTTCTCGCCTTCCACCATGTGGGTCCTGGAGATTGAACTCAGGGTCTCAGACTTGGGTGCAGTCACTTTTACCTGCTGCGCCATCTCACTGGCCCTCTTTTTCTGAGGTGAGGTCCCATACTATAGCCCAGATTGGCCAGAAATTCACTTCATAGCCCAGGCTGGCCTCTACATCATGGTGGTCATCGATGGGAGCTGCCACACTGGCTTTTGTCATCAGCTTCTTGAGGAATGTGTTGAAAGTTAAAATTGAAGATCTTCCCCCTTCTTGAAATTCTCGTTGACAATTCCTCGGTTTCTGTGAAGAAGCCTTACACACCATAAGGACCCCTTTGCCTGACCGCATCATTTTGATGGATGTTTTCTATTTCTTTTTTTAAAAACATAAATATGTTCACTTAGATTCTTTTTTTTTTTTCCTTCATCTTTTTGAGAAAGGGTCTCCCTGTAGCCCCATCTGGCCTAGAGCTCACTATGTAGACCAGGCTGGCCTCAATCTCACAGAGATCCACCTGCCTCTGCCTCCCAAATGCTGGGATTAAAGGTGTGTATCATCACACCTGGCTGATTTTGATTATTCTTATTTTCACTTTGACTAATTTAAGGAAAATCTAAAGCAAAATTCAAGTGTTGCTTTGTTACTCCAACTGTACCTGGAATTCCATTTTCGTATTTTTATGTGCGCTGGGGAATTACAGGAAGTAACTGAAGATACTTTGACTCTGTGATAATCCACAAGGACTGTATTGTCTATAGGACCTTTAGAGTTAAGACAATGTCCTCAATTTTAAAAACTCATCAGAATCTATTCTTTTCTTGTGAAATGTGCACACCTTAACCCGCTGTCCCCTTTGCTGGTGGATTGAAGCCTGTTTATGGCACGCTCTGTGGAACCTGCCCCTGCCCTTCCTGGTGTAAGTCTCGGGCATCTGTGACTGCCATCAAACCCAACACAAGATTGTATTACCCCGCTGCTCTGACATCTTCCTCTCCAAGTCTCTTCTCTTCTTAGACAGGTTTATAAGCACAGGCAAAAGAAAGCATTGCATAAGGGTTTTCTTTTTTTAAAAAATATTTCATTGATTATTTTTATTTTATGTGTATGCGTGTATTGCTTGCATGAAAGTAAGTGCACCCGTGTCATGCAATGCCTGAGGAGGTCAGAAGAGGCTGTCGGATCCCCTGGAACTGGAGTTATGGGCAGTTGTTAGCTGTCATGTGGGTGCTGGGATTCAAACCCAGGTCTTCTGCAAGAACAGTCATTGTTCTTAACTGCTGAGCCATCTCTCCAGCCCAGGGTTCTTATCTTAAAAACATACCAAAAAAAGAACATATCCTACTGCCCTGGCACTCAGAGAAAGCTGTGACTGCCCGGGGAAGCAGACTGCAGACCGTCAGGCTTGGGAGATACAGTTCAGGACAGACAGAATCTGGCTTGAATGTGGGAAAGGTGGTCAAGCCACCTGGCAGGTCTGTTCCAGTCAGCATGGCCTTTGGGACACACTTTTGTTCCCTGATGCTGCCATCACCCTTTGACCTGGTACCTGAGTTCATGTGTTTCAGGCACAGTTTCATTGTGTACACCTCCGTGACCTCGTCCAGTCCTCTGTCGATGGACACCCTCCCGCTTTCATTTCTGTTGTGATAAAATATTCTCACAAAAAGCAAGTTAGGGGAGAAAGAGTTTATTTGACTTTATTTGATTCCAGGTTGTAGCCCATTATTGTGGGGACATCAGGTGGGAACTTAAAGCTTCACATCCACAGTTGAGAGCAGAGAGAGTCAAGCCTGGATCCTGGCTTGCTTGGCCATGCGCAGCTCAATTTCCCTGGTCTTACAGCGTGTAAGAGCCCTTGCCCAGGGAATAGTGCTTCCCACAATGAGCAGGCCTTCCTTTATCAATCAACAATCAAGACAGCCACCACCAGACATGTCCACAGGCCAACCTCATCTAGATAATTCCACATTAAGACTCTATTCCAGGGCTGGAGAGATGGCTCAGTAGTTAAGAGCACTGACTGCCCTTGCAGAGGACCCAGGTACAGTTCCTGGCCCCCACATGATGCCTAACCACCATCCATAACTCTATTTCCATGGGATCTGATGTCCCGCCTCTAGCCTCTGTGGGTATTGTACAACATTGGTGCACTTATACACAGGCAGGCAAAAAACACATACATATAAAAAGATGCTCTCCTCAGGCAATTCTTGGTTGTATCAAGTTGACAGTTCACACTAACCAACACAGATGCCTAGGCCGGATCCATTTCCTGACTGTTTTGAATAGTGCGTCAGTAAATGCAGGTGCATAAATGCCTCTGTGGTGTGTTGGCTTAGTGTCCTTCAAGTGAGTGGTGGTTTGAATGAGAATGTTCCCCGTTGGCTCCAAGTAGTTGGACATTTTGTCTCCAGTTAGCAGTGCTGTTTTGGGAGGCCTTCAGAGGTGTGCCCGTGCCAGAGGACACACGTTGCTGAAGGCAGGTGTTGAGAGTTCTTAAGCCTTGCCTTGCTGTCTCCTGTGCCTACTTGAAGATGCGAGTCCTTCACTTCCTGCTCCAGCCACCCCTGTTGCCGTGCCTCCCCCCACCATGATGGACTCTGATCCCTCTGGAACTGTAAGCTCAAATAAACTCTTCCTTCTATAAGTTCCCTTGGTCACGGTATTTTATCACAGCAACAGGAAAGGAAATAATACAAAGTATGTACCCAAGAGTGTATCTGGGGCATACGGTGGTTATGGTCTTAGGTTTTCGAATAACCTCCACGGTGGCTGCTGGAGCGAGTGGAAATGCTTCTTGGAACGTGTGTCTCTGTGTCGCTACCTAGTTCGTGGCACTTTTGGAGACAGAGCTGGATTCCTCATCAGTGCCCTGCTTGCTCTTTGCAGATGGTTGTGGAGACAGAGAAGTGCTGCATTTCCATGAAGATGGCTTCCTCTGACGACGTGAGCGATGTGCTGGCTCACATCGGTACCTGCCTGCGGAGGATATTCCCAGGTCTCTCTCCACTGTGAGTTCTGGGGGAGGCTGTGGAGGGCAAAGACCTTAAAATCACAAATGTGAAAATGTCCTTTCCCTCCTTCCTCTTCTTCAGACCTCCATGGCCGCCTCCTCGTCCTTCCTCTCCAGGCTTCTTCCTCCTCCTCTTTTTCCTCCCCAGCTCCTCCTCTTTCTCTTACTCCTCCTTTCTTCTCAGGAAGGGAGAGTTGGGGGAGGAAGTCTTACTGTGTAAGCCAGGCTGGCCCTGGAACTCCTGCCTCAGCCTCCTGGTGGTGGGATTATAGGCATGAAGCACCACATCTGGTTTGGGACTGTGTGTTTTGGGTGGCGTGTCAGCTGCTGGAATGGCGTAGCGGTAGATTGGCTAAGGTTAAAACAACAAACAAAAACACCCAGTAGACAGATACTCTGTCAGAAAGCTCACCCACCAACCAGCGTGCTTTCCTCACAGAAGAACGTGTTACACAGATTGTGGAAATCCTCCCGTTACCCCCCACCCCCCGCATGTTGAGATGTGTTAGAGAGGCTGAGGCCTCCCAGACATGTAGGGTGGTCTGCAGTAGGCCTCTCTTGGTGGGAGGAGGGGAGTTCTGGTTGTTGTTGCCCTTTATGGAACAGGGAGGAAGGCGGAGGTAGGAAAAGGCTTTGCATCCTCACATCATGGGGACAGAGGGCTCAGTGGCGTTAGGGAGTCTTGCTTTGTGCTGAGGTGACCTGTTTGGCTCTCTTTGTGGGTCTTGGCCGGGTTTTCTTCCTTTCACGGGGTGAACATGCTCAGTGGGGTTGGCCTGTGCTTCCCTTTGAACCAGGATAGCTGGTTGCCGAGATTCCCCTATGTGCCTGGCGTCATGTCGGAACAAGGGAGGGAAGCTGGGGTGGCCCACTGCCTGTGTAGTCTCAGGTCTTGGCTGTCTTCAGGGCAAACGCTGACTGGCACGCGTTCCCAGATGTGCATGCTTGGAGAAGCGCAGGCCCGCAGGGGGGTTGTGGGTGAGAAGTGAGTCACAGAGTAGCTGTGGGGCGACACCGAGAAGGGAAACTTCCTTGAGAGCTGTTTGCACATCACTCTTGAAGGCAATGAGACAGCAGCTGTTCTCCCGTGCCAGCCGGGTTCTTGTCTCCAAGAATGAGGTGGGCAGACAGAGAAGGACGAACAGGTGGAGGATTTTATGAATATGGGTCAACAGGTCCCTGTGTAGTTCTGTAAACTCAGTGGAGCCGTGGGAGAGCGGGACTTTGTTAGCAGCAGGATGCTAACCCAGAGCTTGCAGACAGCTCTCACAGTCTCAGACTGGAGCAGTAGATTCCAGAGACTGGAGTCGCAGGTCCCCCAGCAGGAACCAGTTCCTGCCTGTAGCCACAGGTTGAGCCCTGGAGGCCAGAGCAGAGCAAGCCCCCTGCCTGTAGCTAGCCTTGGAGGCCAGAGCAGCCGTGGTGAGCCCTGTCTGAGGCTCTGCCTCAGGGACAGCAAGTCTGTCTCCAGCAAGTCTTGAAGGCAGGAGCGATCTTCTTTCTCTTCCTCCCCAAGGAGCGAGTGAGGAGTATGGTCAACCGAAACCTGTGCACCCTGTTTTATAGACCCAGGGGTCAGGGGCTGACTGGCTGAGTGTGTTCATAAGGGTTAGAATGGGACCAAGAAAGGGCCTTCAGGCCTTGCTGGAGATTCAACCAGGTGCCAAAATGACCACAGGTTGCAGGTACTCAAAGGAAGGGTGTCATTAGATGGTCTGCTGCCAGAAGTCTGAAGCGGTTTCTTTGCACAAGGGGCTGCTACCCTGACCTCTGCCCAGAGCTGTCCTGGTGCTGCCCTGGTAGATGATCACTGGTGGTAGTCTACCTTTGGTCGTCCTGGACAAAGCAGCCTGTTCCCCGTTCCGGTTGTACCAGAGTTTGTGTGTGTGTGTGTGTGTGTGTGTCTGTGTGTCTGTGTGTTTGTGTCTGTGTGTGTGTGTATGTGCCCATTTTTGTTCTTGCTTCTGGCTGCCACTTTGATGACAACAGGGAACCCTTCTATCCCGTATCAACATTAGGGACAGTCTGGGGACTCATGAGCTCCCCACAGCTCATTCCCTTCACCAGCCCCTCGCTGTCAGCCTCAGTAACCTCATGAGCCCCTCTATTAGTTACCTTCTGTTGCTGTGATAGAAACACTGACCAGAGCAACTTATAGAAGGAAGAGTTTATTTAGTTATGGCTCCAAGGGGCAGGCATGACGGCAGAGGTGGCTGGAGGAGGAGCGGACGCTAAGCTCTCACATCTTCAAGTAGGCATAGGAAACAAGAGAGCAACTCAAGATCCAGCAAGCCTTAAGAAGTCTCTAAGCCCGCCCCCAGTGACCTGCTTCCTCCAGCATGGCCACATCTTCTAAGACCTCCCAAAACAGCACCGCCAACTGGAGACAAAATATCCAAACACTTGGAAGCCTATGGGGTTCTGTCTCATTCAAACCACCACATCCCCCTTAATCTCTTAGGGCCCTCAACTCAGGCAAGCCCAGGGTTGGTTCTTTGGACACAAAAGAATTTCAGCACCTAGCCAGTACGAAGCGAAGGTGGGGTTTTATTAAAATAGAAATGGTGGGTGTGGTGGCGCACACCTTTGGTCCCAGCACTTGGAGGCAGAGGCAGGTGGATCTCTGTGAGTTTGAGGACAGCCTGGTTTACATAGTGAGTTCCAGGCCAGCTGAAAGGCAGACCCTATCTCAAAAAGACAGACAGAGAGAGAGAGAGAGAGAGAGAGAAAGACAGAGAGAGAGAGAGAGACAGACAGACAGACAGACTGACTCCTTGTGAAAGGACTGAAAACACACCTGAAAGCATGGGTGTGAACCCCTCAAAGACCTGCAGTTTATCAAAAGTTTAACTTATTTACTAATGTGCGTGCATATGTATGTTTACATATGTGGTCATTTTACTCCCGTGCCATTATATGTGTATAGAGGTCAGAGGACGACCTGAGGGAGTTGGTTCTCTCCTCTCTCTTTCTAGCACATGAGTCCTGGGGATCAAGCTCAGGTCTTCAGGCAGCAAGCACCTTTACCTACCGAGCCATCTAACCAACCCAAAAGCATTTGTAACTTAGATAAGGTCTTGCAGGGTCGTAGGGCACACTCAAGTGTGGGCATGGATTCCAAAGGAGACTCGGCTTAGTACTGGCCGCACACTCCATGTAGGTGGCTCTCAAGTTACATCTCAAAAGTTGCTAAGGAGCCTTTTCTCCCCCCCTCCCTTTTTGATATGTGTGTTGATGGGGGAACTTCAGAACTGCCTGGGCTTGGATTATAATCTTAAAGTAACACCAGGGATTCTGCTGAGATGCTTAGACAAGGTGCAGGATTGTAGCAAGAGAGAGGGACAGGCTGTGGGCAGCTGTTGATGATGCTGGAGTTCTTGTGAGCTGGTGAGGGGCCTAGGACTCCTGGGTCCCTCTCCTCTCCCAGGTCCCTGTAATTCCATCTGTCTGTCTGCTTCCACCTTCATTTTAACGATGTGTCTCTGTGTATGTGTTTTCTCCTTTCGGATCAGACTGACTCTGAGTTCCTTTTTTCCCTTTTATTAAGAGTAGGTCTCCCTAAGTCTGGGGTAGCTTTGAACTTTGATCTAGATCTCCTTCTGCCTCAGCTCCTCCCACCCCAGGTGCTCTGGGATCACACGCATGAGCCACTGCATCAGGCTTTATTTGTTTATTAATGTTCTAGGAACCTGGGGTGGGGTGAATTACCAGTTTTAATTTTGCTTTGGATTATCCATTTTTTCTTTAGAGAATATTGTTGAATAATATTCATGTAGATGTTACATTTCCCATGTAACCATGTGTAAAAATGTCCAGGTAATGATTAAACAACTATCCATTCATTCCTAGATAGGCAGTTAAGATATCTGCACCCACTCCTTAGTCCCTGGCATCTGTCTGCCCATGAGCTGCACTGCAGCCTCCAGTCTGGAGGGATCCACAGGGGTTCCTGGAGGCGCACACACTCAGTACTGCTAAAGAGAACTGCTTCCTGTCCCATGTAAAACCTTCCCACGTGGCCCATGACTGGCTTCGTGGTTTGCGGTCTCCTCAGTGCGAAGCTGCCTGGCCCTCAGGCCGCCTCAGCAGCTCTTGTTGGGTCCTTTGTTTTTTGTTTTGTTTCCCTTGCTCAGTTCAGACTCATTCTGCAGTGCGGTATCTCTGTAGCCAGTGTCTTCACCTCCAGCCTCCACCTGAGGATAGTTATCTTTGTATAGTTCCGGCAGCGTCTGTGTCTGGCAGAGTCTGTCATGACTCCTGCCGGATAACACTGAAATTGCATAGCTAGGCCCAGAAGAGAATTACTTTCCTCCCCATCAGCAGCCTATTCTGAAACACAGCTAGAGGTTCACGCTTTCATCCTCCTCACATAGACCCCTTCCCTGACAAGCTCCCACACATAGGCACCAGGAATCAGGTTTAACTGTGAACTGCCCTCTGCAGGCTCCCAGGGACGGCCCCACAGACTCAGCGGTGAGCAGTGAATATGGTGTGTGTACACAACTTTGTAGAGAAGCTGTGTGCTTATCACCATGTTCTTACTCATCTTCAATCTACCTGAAATACTGTCACTCAGGCCGGCCCCAAGGTTGCAGTAATCCTCTTGTCTTAGCCTTCCCAGCTGTTAAGATTACAGGTGTGAGCCACCATGTGCAGTCACCACACAAGGGTTTGGATGAACACAGCCTGTGGGAGTCGGTTCTCTCCTTCCACTATGTGGGACCAGGGGATCAAACCCATGATCTCAGGCTTGGCAGCAAGCCCTTTGAACTGCTGAGCCATCTTGCCAGGTGCCTAACCATCTCACTCGGTGCCTAACCAATAGAAAACAAGACCACATGGAGTTAGAATTCCTGGCTCTGCCATCAAACCACAGGCCCTTGAGCTGAGGTGACAGGAAGTAGCCGAGAGAGAGTGAATGGGCCCCAATCAGAGGTCCTGGAACACAAGCTGGTTTACTGGTGACATCCCCACAAGACGGACATGGTTCAGAGGAGA